GAGGAGGAGGAGAAGAAAAGGTGCAGGATGAGGGAGGAGGAGGAGGAGGGGGAGGAGGGGGAGGAGGAGGAGGGGGAGGAGGCGGGAGCGGAGGAGGAGGAGGAGGAGGAGGAGAGGAGGAGGGAGGAGGAGGAGGAGGAGGGGGGAGCAGGGGAGGAGGAGGAGGGGGAGGAGGCGGAGGAGGAGGAGGAGGAGGGGGAGGAGGAGAAGGAGGAGGAGGAGGAGGAGAGGAGAGAGGAGGAGGAGGCGGAGGAGGAGGAGGAGGAGGAGGAGGGGGAGGTAGGAGGGGAGCAGGGGGAGGAGGAGGAGGGGGAGGAGGAGGAGGAGGAGGAGGAGGGGGGGGGGAGAGGAGGAGGAGAAGGAGGAGAGGAGGAGGAGGAGGGAGGAGGAGGAGGAGCTCTTGGGCGGCCGCACGTGGACGGGCGCTGCTCTGCGCGCCAGGAGCGGCGCGGCAAGGCCGCACTCGCGCGCCCCCTCTACCACGGCGAAACGCGCGCCGGCCCCCCGACGCCTCCGCCGAGACGTGGCTCCACGAGCGCGCGCGCGGGGGGGGGGGGGGGGCGGAGAGAGAGGGGGAGGGGGGAGGAGGAGATGAGGATTGAGGGGGGGGGGGGGGGGAGGAGGGGAGGAGGGAGGAGGGGAGGAGATTGAGGGGGGAGGGGGGGGAGGAGGGGAGGAGGGGGGGTTGGGAGGGGGAGGAGGGGAGGGGGGGAGAGGGGAGGGGGGAGGGGGGAGGAGGGGAGGAGGATTATCAGGAGGGGAAAACACACAGTCACAATGAATCGTCGATGCCCCCGAAAATGTAGGAAAATATGGCAAGTGGGGGAGGAGACGAAAACCTAGAAAATATAGGAAAATATGGGGAATCCTTGTATTTGTGTGTATCTATTTGTGTGTCCCAGTTTCCCTTCATATTGAGCATCCGATCTATTTCGGGCGTCTTTGGGGAGCAAGGGGCTCCCGGGGTGTGGGGCAGGAGCCGGAGGTCTTGTGGAGGCTTCCGGAGACCTCCAGAGGAGTGGGCCAGGGGAAGCATATGGGGAGGCACGGGGGAGGAGGCGGACGCTCTCCGAGGCGTTCGAAAGTTTCTGGGTCTCGTGGTGGCTTTCGGGCCCAAGGGGGCTGCTCTTCGTCAGCTGCGTCTCGTCTGGAGTCTGGAGCCTGCGGGAGCCTTCGGGGAGTCCATGGATGGTTCCGCAAGGCCATGGAAACGGGAGTTGTTGCACGAACACCAAGAAGAAGATGGTGAGTTCTTTCGTCTAACATCCAGCAGTGCCTCGTCTTCACGCTTGCATCCGCCTCGATATCGACGATCGAATTTTTCCAGGACAGGTCGAGGTGCGATTTTGGAAGAGACCCGTAGCCCCTGGAGCATGCCGCTGCGCAGTCGAACCAGCCATTGTTCGACGACGCTGAAGGTCGTCATATGGTTTTGGGTGGTTCCGAGCGAGTCGAAAGGTTCGTTGGAGTTCTTCTGGCGGGTTCGAGATGTTCTCTTGGGCCGGCTGCGTGCAGGTAGATGTCGGGCGCCATCGAATGTTCACGACGTGCAGAACCAGACCGTTACATGTTCGGCGAGTACGTCGCACCCTCCGTAAGCGTAATTTGCTCGAGAGTCACGGTTTTGCCCCACGTAATTGTGTTGGCACATCGGCTGAGCTCCAGGCGGGGACACTGCTCCGATCTGGTGTTCTGTTCGCGTGCCTGCAAAGGGTAGCCGAGGATAATGCCATGTGTTTTACAGAGGCTACTGTATGTGCCCGACTGGGCCTGTGTCTCTGTAGGCTGTAGGCAGGCGTCTGGGACGCCGACACGATTGTCGTTTCACAGGAAGCTCAGCGCACGTATTGCGCTTAGTTGGAGAAGAGCAGTCGTTTGTTATGTTAGGGGGGCAGAAGTAGTGCCAATCTTGCGTTTTGCCGTACCTGCGTTGGGGCCAAGTTCTGGGCTTTGTTTTCACGTGAGCCATGCGGTATGCGTGACTCGCATAGCGTAAGGCTCGGATTTGCAGCATAAGCCCACGATCATTCGCCGCACACATGAAGCAGTGGGCATCTTTGTGACGATCATGCCATCAACCGTTGACCACTAATTATCACAACTACAGCTTCCATGGGCCATCATGGTCATTTTGCCTTTGGATCTCCTCTGACTCCCCCGAAGACCTGGCATCGCTCGGACGCGTGCTTTTTGCCTCGGCGAGAATCGTTGAGGACGATCCTGGACCATCGAGCAGAAAAGAACACGCACGAAACCGAACAATGCACGGGACATGGACGTCCGAGCGATGGCGAGACGACTGCAGGCGCAGGTGGAGTCACACCAGGGGCGGGAGCCAGCTGGCACGAGCACCCCCTCGCCCCACGAGCGGATAGGGGCTGTTCCCCCCCCCGTGACGGCGCGGCGGCGTGGTGGACTCACGCCCCCTCGGGTCGGGTCAGGCTGCCGCTTGTCGCTCGGCATTCCCCCTGCAGCTGGGAGCCCGCCTCGGCTGCATCTCCTTTCCTCCTGGCGCCCGCAGCACGTTTTTTGCCGAGCGGAGCTGTGCCATTGCCGGCGCGGCATCAGGGAGGGACGCGTCCAGGCGGCCTTGCGTTGTTCATCTCCCTTGTTCAGCGCCTTCTCCAGTCCAACTCGTGCGTCCGTCCGCTTCTCCATTCGCTGTCGTGCCTCCTTGCATACCCCAGCGCCTCCTTGTCTGTGCCCATACCTCTTTGTCTTCTTTCCTTCGTCCCCATCTGTGTCGGCGTTCGTGTATGCGGTCTTGCTCGGTTCATGTTTCTGCCTCTATGTCTCTCCGTCTGCCTCTCCCTCTCTCTCTGCCCATATATATATATATATATATATACATGTGTGTGTATTGCTAAATTGCGTTGGCGGTCTGCGTGTCTTTCAACTTGGTCGCTTTTCTGTTTTCCCCCAGGCTCTATATGTCTGTAAGTCTGTGCGAAGAGTGGGTCTGCCAGTCAGCATTCCCAGAACAGTGATTGCATTCATGGTTTCGTATCTCTCTTTGGTGAACTGGCCCCGGATGTCGGCCTGGCGGCTCCGTGCACGCCGTCGCCGACCCGTCGCCGCTTCGTCGCCGCCCGTCGTCTGAGCCTGATTGCCAGTCTCGCATTGCCGTGCTCGCTGTCGCCGCCCCGTCGCTGCCACCTCGCCGCCCCTCGACTGCGGGTCCGGCGGCTCCATGCTGGCCGTCGCCGCCCCGTCGCCTCGGTTCGCTCGGGTTCTCCGTCCTGAAATAAGAATAGACTCTACCCCCCCACAGGAACTGTCGATCCCTGTTGTGCTTCGTATGGCAATTTGCACATGGTTCTGCCCCATCGTCCAGCCTACCCGTGAATTCCTACTATCCCAGCCAGGCCGGTATCGACCCCCTCGCCATCCTCTGCAAAACATCTATGGGCGCACACTCGTTCATCAGAAATCATGAGTCTTCAAACATTCTTTGCAAAACAATGGGACGAAGTGCACGCGCGCGTCGTCGCGCCCGCATGCCGAAATCGGTCATAAACTCTCGGTTGCGGAAGGATTTCAAATCGATGTCCTAAAGAAGCTTACACGCGCGCTCTTGCGAAATCTTCAGAAAACCATTGGTGTTCACCATTTTCAAAAAATGCTACCAAACAGGCTTCGCGCGCGCATGTCGAAATCGTTCGATCGCCCTTGCGCGCGTGCCGTCGCGAGAATCCTCTGCGAGGAATGGGACAACGGCGTAAACTTTAAAATCAGATTGTAGTTCCGCGCGGATTTCCTGGATCGGCGCTGGGCCCCCTTGGTGCACCTGGCGCCGCCTTCCAGACGTTGTTGTCGTTCTTTATGTTCTTTTTGTTGATTTGTCCAGGAAAGCCATCTGTTGTCGTTCTGGCCTCCAGTGCGTCCTGGGCGCGGCGGGAGCTGAGGCTCTTTTCAGTTCGTACTCGAGGGGTGACTGGAAGAGTCGTGGGAACGTGGCCGTCTGAGGTTCTGTTGGGCCCTGCTGCGGATGTATTGGCCAGCTTGGGTCGATGGAGGAAGCTTCATGCATGGTTTGGCGGCGCGCACACGGGGGTGGGGGGAGGGGGGAGGGCTTCTTAGAAGCACCCCTGCTTCTTAGAAGGCGCGGGCCTTCTCTGTAGATGTCATGCCGGCGCCTTCTAAGAAGCAGCCTCCTAAGAAGCCCTCCCCCCTCTCTCCACCCCCTTGTGCGCGCCGCCAAATGGTTTCTTTTCCCGAGAGCTCCGCGCGGAGTTGTCTGTTCGGCGCTCGGCCCCCCTGCGGTGTCTCCCGCGCGGCCACGAGCGCGCTTCGCGCGCCAGGGAGGGGGGGGGTCCCAGCGCCGATCCGGGATATCCGAACGGACCTCCGGGGGATTCTGTTTTTATGCAGCGTTTCGTTCCCCTGGGCATAAGTCGGGCCTGTCCCCCTACAGAGGGATTTTCGACGACAGATGAAAAATACCCCAACAATAGTCAAAAATAATCCAAAAATAGTCTGGGGACTATTTTTTGATTATTTTTTGACCTCCTTGGGGTATTTGGGGGGTATTTTTTTTATTTTTCGTCGAAGATCCCCCTGTAGGGGGACACGCCCGACATAACCCTAGGCCAGTTTGGTGTGGTCGACGAATGCGTGGGCCGGTTTCAGCGGCGCGGCGTTGGCCGGGAGCCTTGAGACGGGGGTCAATGCAAATGGGGGTCAGCCAGGGCAACGGATCCTGCAGGATCCTGCGAAGACCCCCCCTCTGGCTGACCCGGGTCAGCGAGCCGCTCGTGGCCGCGAGGCGGCCGCGCACATTGGCTGACCCGGGTTTGCGAAGACCTGCGCTGCAGATTTGTTTTTCCTGCACCGCAGTTGTTAGGTTTCCTGCTGACCCTGGTCGGGATCGACCCGGCTCTAAAGGTCCCCGAGCCGGGAGGGGGAGGGGCGGGTGGCGCCTTGGAAGTCCCAATTGGCGCGCGGTCGCGGATGCCACGAGGGGCCGTGGTCTGCTGCGGGCGAGGGCCACGTCGAGGGGTCGTGGCCCCCAAAGCGACGAGGATGGTCCAGGAGCGAAAGAATCACACAGACACAATTAATCGTCGACTCCCCAGAATATGCGAAAATGTGGGAATTGGGGGGAAGACAAAGACCCAGAAAATGGTGAATTAGTTTATTTGTGTGTATATCCGTAAGGGCTTCGCCCCCTGCCGCCGGCCCCCTCTCTCGGAGAATGGGCCATGGAAGAGCTAAGTCATGAGGTCTTGGCGCTGTCGTGAAGCAGTATCGAAACTTCATGCGAAGCCGATTCGCAATCAGCAAAACCAACTGATCACAAGAGGGGTTACCACACCTGGCGATTGGTAAGACGTGTATGGTTTACGGGCTTGGTTACCACACCTTGCGATGAAAGGGCCGAGGGGATTCTCGCAGTTTGGGTTACCACGCCTTGCGATGGATGTGCGTGAAGGGTGGCACCGAATTTCAGAAATGTGGCAAATCCCTTATGTTTTTGGACCCTGACCCCGCGGATCTGCATAAGGGGTGGCACCGAATTTCAGAAATGTGGCAAATCCCCTGTGTTTTTGGACCCTGACCCCGCGGATCTGCGTGAGGGGTGGCACCGAATTTCAGAAATGTGGCAAATCCCTTGTGTTTTTGGACCCTGACCCCGCGGATCTGCGTGAGGGGTGGCACCGAATTTCAGAAATGTGGCAAATCCCTTGTGTTTTTGGACCCTGACCCCGCGGATCTGCGTGAGGGGTGGCACCGAATTTCAGAAATGTGGCAAATCCCTGTGTTTTTGGACCCTGACCCCGCGGATCTGCGTGAGGGGTGGCACCGAATTTCAGAAATGTGGCAAATCCCCTGTGTTTTTGGACCCTGACCCCGCGGATCTGCGTGAGGGGTGGCAACGAATTTCAGAAATGTGGCAAATCCCTTTTGTTTTTGGACCCTGACCCCGCGGATCTGCGTGAGGGGTGGCACCGAATTTCAGAAATGTGGCAAATCCCCTTTGTTTTTGGACCCTGACCCCGCGGATCTGCGTGAGGGGTGGCACCGAATTTCAGAAATGTGGCAAATCCCCTGTGTTTTTGGACCCTGACCCCGCGGATCTGCGTGAGGGGTGGCACCGAATTTCAGAAATGTGGCAAATCCCATGTGTTTTTGGACCCTGACCCCGCGGATCTGCGTGAGGGGTGTCGATTTCGAGCCCCCCCAGCAATTCAGACAACGCGCCCAGGGGGTGCTAAAAATCCCGTTTGGGCCTCCCCCCCCCTCGCGCGGTCAATCAACTAGTTACAGTAACCAGCAAGAAGTCAACTAGTTACAGTAACCAGCAAGAAGCAGAACTGTAACACTGGAAACTACAAGCTACAACTGGTACTGGAAACTGCGAACCCGTGCCTCGCAGCCTGGTGGCCCCACAAGGGGGCCGGCGGATTTGTTTGTGTGTCCTGGGGCCCCTTCAAGGTCCCTGGCCTTGCGATCGAGGTGTCTGGCCAGATTTTCCCGCCCGGCCGGGCCGTCTATAGGCGGCGCACTCCCGCCCGCGGGCGGCTCGCCTGCGGCGTCCGCTGCGCATCCCGCAGCGGCATCCTCGCCGTCCCCACGGGTGGGCAGGAGGAGGAGTGCGCGGGGCGCCCGCGCTCTGGGGCCCGTGCGGGCGTCCTCCTCCTCCTCCTCCTCCCCCTCCTCCTCCTCCTCCTCCTCCTCCTCCTCCGAGCTTAGACTGCCCCAGCGGGGGCCGCAAGACAAGGAGGGATGTCACTTCGCGCTCCGCGGAGGCACTCGCCGGGCTGTCGGCTCCCGGGCTCGCCCGCCGAACGCTCCTCTTGGCGGTGCGCTCTGCGCTGCTCCGTCGCCGCAGCGCTGCCCTTCTCCCGGCAGAGGATGGCCGCGCGAGGGCGCAGAGACGAACGCGCCGCGCCCCGCGCGATGCGCAGGGTACGGCAGCCTGCGAGGGATGTGAATGCCCTCCGCACGTTCGAATCATGTGCTGCTGGGCTTCCAGATCCCAGTCTGCGTCAGGCGCATGTCCGATGCCAAGAACCGAGTGGTGTTCCCTCGACTCTTCCTTCCTTTCGTTTCGGGGGGGGCGGGCGGCAACCCAAGCGATTTTCAATCCCTCGTTCTGTCAGGACTTGGGGTTCGGAAAAGGGTGTGCTCCCTGGCTGAAGGAGGAAGGGGGGCCCACGATGCGGCAGTTGGCCGCGGAGGAAAAAGAGGAGGAGGAGGAGTGGGCGGGAAGGGGGAGGCCAGGGAGATTGGCCACATTATGGCGTGTACAGGCCAGCAAACCCAACATCACTGTGGCGTCGCTCGGCCTGTTCAATCGAGAGGTCCGTGTTTCCAGCTCGTTGGTGAACTGTTTGGTTACTAAAAATACTCAGGAGGAAAAGAAAACACAAGCACAACTGATCGCAGAAATGGCTCACTGCTCACACACATAAAACAAAACACAAACACAACCACAAACACAACACAGTACACAATACTCGGCTCACGTAACGCAATGTTGACAGATTGGAAGTGGATGGGAAGACGAAGGTCCATGGATGGAGGGAGATCCTGGGATCTGTTTCTTTTTGTCTGTGCGTCCCTAGGCCCCTGTCATACGGTACATAGACAAAATGTTGCACCACCTGGTGTTGTCAAGAAAGCAAGCCGATTTTGCAATGGATGTTCGCTTCCACCCCCCCCCTCCCCCCAATCTTAACATTGGCTGCGGTCCCGGGTTCACCGAAACGGCTCGGTGGTGCAACATTCTGTCGCGAGCCCTGGGGGGGGCGCCAAGGGACCTTTGAGATGTGCCCAATATCAAGATCAGGGGGAGGGGGGGAGGAGCAATGCAATATACTTAGCTGACGATGCGCGGCAGAAGCGGTGCAACGTTTCGTCGACGTACGGTCTCAAACGCATGCGCGAAATGTTGACAGATTGGAAGTGGATGAGAAGACGAGTGTCCATGGATGGAGGGAGATCCTGGGATCTGTTTCTTCTTGTCTGTGCGCCCCTAGGCCCCTGTCAGATCAAACGCATGCGCGTACCTTGGCATCGCTCGGACGTGTGCGTTTTTCCTCGGCGAGGACCATCGAGGAGCATTCTTGATCACTTGGCGAAACAAATCACGCACGAAACCGAAACAAAAAACACAGGGAATGGACGTCCGAGCGATGGCCAGGTACACCAGACAGCACACGGCGCGCCGCGCAGAGACGTGTCGCATCCGCGCCGGGCCCCCCCCGCTCCGGGGGCCCTGCGCCTGGCGCGCCCCCGCGCCGAGCGCCGAGAACGAGCCCGCTCGGACCTCGGGCGGCCCACGCCGCAGCTCTTCTCGTGCTCTCCTCCTACTCCTCCTCCTCCTCTTCCTCCTCCTCCTCCTCCTCCTCCTCCTCCTCCTCCTCCTCCTCCTCCTCCTCCCCCTCCCCCTCCACGTAGACTGTGGCGATCATGACACTCATGACACTCTTCCCCCTCCCCCTCCTCCTCCCTGTAGCCCTTTCGGAGCACACCGCGCCAGCTGCCAGCTTGCGAGGGGAAGAACGGACACGGACACGCCTGGAGTCGTCGATCCCCAGGAGCGCATGGAAAAATATTGGGGGAGTGGAGGGGGAGACACGTACCCAGAGCAGCTTGAAACAGATGGGGCGGTCCACGCTACGGCTCTTCGTGCTCTCCTCCTGCAGCGAGGGGAAGAACGGACACGGACACGCCTGGAGTCGTCGATCCCCAGGAGCGCATGGAAAAATATTGGGGGAGTGGAGGGGGAGACACGTACCCAGAGCAGCTTGAAACAGATGGGGCGGTCCACGCTACGGCTCTTCGTGCTCTCCTCCTGCAGCGAGGGAAGAACAGGCACGGACAGACATGGAATCGCCGATCCCCAGGAGCACAGGGGAAGACATGGGGGAAGTGGAGGGGGAGACACAGACCTCCACGATCGTTCGCGCTCCTCGTGGCCCCAATACGCTTTTCCAGACATCACGCAGGGAAGTGGAGCAGCGGAAGATATCCATCAAGGGCAGCAAAAACGCCCCTACCCTGGTTTACGAGGCGCTGTGCGCTGAAACTTCTGTGGGCTGACAGGGTAAACCCTGCGTGATGTGCCGCGTCCTGGCGGCTCTAGGCTTTGGGGGTTCCCAGGAGGTTTACGGACCACGCACTCGTAACGCAGGGTAGGGCCGTTTTTTCATCCCTCAAATCCAGAACATCTCGACATCGATGGGGAGTCCCGGGATCTGTGCCTATTTCTTTGCGTGTCCCCGGGGCTCTCTGCTCCGACGGCGCGCCTCGCGAGGCGCCCCCTCCGGGGGGCCGGCGGCGGAGGGAGCGCCCAGCGGCCCCCGATCGCGCAGGGGGCGGCGGCCAGATGCTGGGGACGCCGCGGGAGTCCGAGGGCGACCTGCCCAGGCGCCGGCAGACGTCGCAGGACGGCGGCGGCGCTCTAGGCCTCCCAGATGGGGTCGGAGTAGATAGGGTCGAAGGATCGCGCCGCATCGCCGATGCATCGACGATGCGGCTCGATGCGGAGCCCGACTTTCGCCACGCCGACGGCGCCAATGCATCGCGGGCATCGCCGGTGCATCGCCATTGCATCGCCGATGCATCGCCGATGCATCGGCGATGCAGCGCGATTCCTCGACCCCATCTACTCCGACCCCATCTAGGAGGCCTCTAGGCGCTTCACATTCTCAGGATCCACGTTTGGGAGTTACCAGCCTCTCAGAGCCCCGAATCATCAGGGGTAACTCGGGTCAGGGCTGACTCGGGTTTGTTTTTCGGGATGCCGAACCCGAGTTACCCCAGGCCCGAGCTACCCCGGATAACTCGGGCGTCCAGAGCCCCGAATCATCAGGGGTAACTCGGGTCAGGGCTAACTCGGGTTCCGTTTTCGGTAATCCAAACCCGAGTTACCCCAGACCCGAGTTACCCCGGATAACTCGGGCGCCCAATATCCTTATCCCTAATATTGACGTGCCAAAGAGCGGTGACCATCTTAGGGATGTGCCCTCAGAAAGTAAGGGAATCCCCGCAGATGGGCATCGTGATGAGGAGATGCCCAGCATAGGGACAGGGATATGTTCCAGGCTGGTAAGGGAGGGGATGCCCATCGGTCGTTGAAAGTACGTATATCTAGCTTCCCAGAATCCACCCTTTTTCAGGCGCCTTCCTCCTGTAATCCTCGAGTGGTTTTACGTTCACCTTCCTCTCTACCTTCCTCTTTGGGGGGCGGGCGGAGACCTAATCTACTTTCAACGCCTTCCTTCTTAACGTTTCTACCCACTTCTTCCGACCGATGGGTAGGCTCACCCATCCCCCACTGACCGCCGAGAGGGGCTCGAGATCCCACCCCGCTCAGGAACGTGCGGTTTCGCTATCCGGGGGCTGTCGCCGATGCATCGTCGATGTGTCACCGAGTCTGGGTCGCTGGTGCATCCCCTGAGCCGGTCGCCCCTGAGCCCGCTCTCCCCACGGAGCGAAGGGTGGCCCACTGTTTCGTGTGTGCCGTTGGGCATGAAGGAAAAACACACAGACACAGTTAATCGGCGATTCCCAAGAAAATATAGGAAAATATAGGAAGTGGGGGGAGACAAAAACCAAGAAAACATGGGAAATATGGGGAATCGTGTTTTTTGTGTGTATTTATTTGTGTGTCCTGGGGCCCCTTCAATTTAGTGTGTGCCGTTGAGCACGGGGACCCGCAGAGCAGCCTGAGCCTGGCGGCCGGGAGAGTCGGCACGCACCAGGGGGCTTCCGTGGGCCGGCGCGCGTTTGCGCTCCCACGCGTCTTGCCGATCGTCGCGCTCAGCACGTTGGTTGTGCGCGTGAGCGGCGGGGCGAGGGGCAGGAGGAGGAGGAGGAGGTCCAGTGTAAACCCATCAACGAGGTTGAGACAAACCTTCATTCCAAGCTCCCACTTGATATACCCGTACAACCAGTTCAGTTCCACAGACGGAAGTGCCTCGTTGGAAGGCACACGATTGAAGACCCTGAAGCACGCCGAAACATTATTCTCGGGACTGCAACGCCACGGATTAATCTGGGACTTCAACACCGCGAGTCAACGTAATTGTTGCGCCCTCATAATCTTGAATCTCTCCAAATCACAATTTCAGGTACGCTGTTCATGGAAACCCGTGGATTCCTTGCAAAGTTTGAATACGAATGTGCGCGGCGCGAAAGCGAGAGACACGTGCTGAAAAGGAAACGCCTTCAGTCCGCGAAATTCCTGCAATTGTTGAAACGACTGTGCACGGCGCTAAGGCGAGAGCCACATGTTGAAAAGGAACCGACCTCAATGAGTGAAACGCTTGCAATAGTTTAGAACGAATGTGCACGGCGCTAAGGCGAGAGCCACATTTTGAAAACAGCCAGCCCTCAATCCGTGAGATTATGGCAAATGTTTGGAAATAATTTGCGCGGCGCTAACTAAGGCGGGAGCCACATTTCGGAAACCACCCGCCCTCAAGTCGTGAACCTCCTGCATTTTTTTCAAACGGATGTGCGCGGCGCTATGGCGAGACATGTTTAAAACCTCCCGCCCTCCCTTTGGTAAACCGTTGCCAGTACGTGTACGCTTCAGGGTCATGAGTGGTGAGGAAGTGTCAGGCGAAGCGCCCGACCCGCCCTAAACGTTGGCCTCGGGGTGCGACAGGGAGAAGTGATGTAGAAAGGAAAGCCTAAAAGCGCATCGAGGAGGAGGAGGAGGAGGAGGAGCAGGAGGAGGAGGAGGAGGAGGAGGAGGAGGAGGAGGAGGAGGAGGAGGAGGAGGAGGAGGGGGACGGACGTCGTGGCCCGACTCGGGCGGTCGGCCAGTGCCGCGCCCGACCGCGCGATGGAGGCCAGGGCGCGTCGACCACCCGCGCTCGGCGGCGGACGATGACCCCGCAGACATCCGCGCCCCGCAGACCCCTGCGCCCGACGCCCCCCCCCCCACTAAAACGACGCGAAGATCGGGACAGAATCGGATCGGGATCACTCGAAAGCTCGGAGAATCGGCGGGTTTGGAGGATGCATTGGTCGGAGGTCCGCGCTGGACCCCCCCCCCGCTCCGCGCGCCGGGGACGGGGGGCCCAGCGCCGAGCCGAGCAATTCGCGCGGACCTCAGAGGAGTTGTGTCCATGCTCCTCCTCCTCCTCCTCCTCCTCCTCCTCCTCCTCCTCCATCTCCTCCTCCTCCTCCTCCTCCTCCTCCTCCTCCTCCTCCTCCTCCTCCTCCTCCTCCATGCCGACGCCCCCCCCACATGACGAACGAACAACACACACCCATACCCATAGGGGGGTCGTTGGGGGGAGGACTGGCTGTGGGCATGGGTGCGGGTTGTCGGACCCTGGGGAACGCTCCCGTTCGAGCGGGGACCCCCATCCGACAGCACGCACCCGTAGCCCTCTCCGATCCCCCTATGGGTATGGTTGTGTGTTGTTGGTTCGTCACCCCACCCCCCCACGCCCCGTGGCCACCCTTCCCACCGCCCGTTGGTGACACTCCCGGGGGATGCCAGCTGTCGCCTCGACGCCTGCCCGCAGCAGCGGCCTCCCGCTCTGAAGGGCAGGGCAGGCTGCGGCGGCCCGCCGCGGGATTGGGAGGGGGGTGGAACCGGGGGGGGGGAGGAGGAGACGACCTCCATTTTGTAGCGCAGTCGTGTTACTTGTGGACCACAATGGGCGTTCGTGACACCTTGCCATCACTTCGGCTAATACACGCCCACGTCCAAGACATGTGTTGATTGACCATTCGCTGTCGGAGAAAACGCCACGCATTTGTTGAGACCGCATGGCGACCATGGTGGATGCTACCCAAACGTGAAGCTATTATGTGCTGTTTCGCCCCGCGAGCCTCGCGAAGGCCTTCTTTGGAGTCGACCAAACCAGGCAATGTGTGAGGAGCTCTCAGGCGAGGTGGGGCCGAAACCAGGGCCACCCAAACAAATTCAGAGGACGTCGCAGGTCGAAACCGGTCCCGAAATCCTGCCAGACCAGGGGCCAAACCAGGAGAGTTCTGAGAGTGTCTCCGGCGGGGCGAGCGGCAAAGCCGGGCCATACCATGGGCCGAAACCAATCAGATCCCAACGACGTCCCAGGCATGATCGCCCCAAGCAGACTCCATCAATTATCCGCAACAACATTCGAATTGGAGGATTGGATCACCCAGGGCTTCCCCAGGCGGTAACCCGCTTGACATGTTATAAAAGGGGGGCGTTCGGACCGCGTGCCCACTGATGCACACGGGGTTGTGCATTTGTCGTTCGGCTGTTGATGGGGCCTTGGTGTAAGATACATGATGAATACTTCGAGCCTGTGGTTTGACCCCCCCCGCGACCGCCCCTTGGAGGGGGGGTGCGTGGTTGCTTTCGAACTGAGCTCACGAGCCGTCAGCTCTCCACTCCCAGGAAGACGGGGGCTCCTTGCGGCCCAGAGGGCCCCACAGCGTGCTCCTGGCCCTCGGGAGCTTGCTTTATGTCGGGCCTGTCCCCCTACAGGGGGATTTTCGACGAAACATAAAAAATACACCAAAAATGCACCAAAAAGGTCAAAAAGTACTCAAAAATAGTCCCCAGACTATTTTGGGACTATTTTTTTATTATTTTTGGTGTATTTTTAATTTTTCGTTGAAAATCTCCCTGTAGGGGGACAGGCCCGACTGAACGCTTGCTGCCGCTGGGGTTGCCGACGCCCTCCGGCGGGAACGGCGCCGCACCCAGGACAAGGTGGCCGGCTTCCCTGCGGCGGCCACCTCTAGGGGAACAGAAAGTGACATAAACATAAAAACTCGGAGGTCCGCGCGGATTTCTCGGATCCGCGCGTCAATCTTAGGGGTAGGGATGAGTTCGAGGCTGGTAGTGCCAGTGCCGTGCGGGCGCGGCGGGGACCTGAAGCAGCGTGTGTGGCGCCATAGAGGGCGCGAACGGCGAGCCGGCCACGCCGCCATGCCTGGCGGCCCCGCTGCACCCTCCACGCGGAGGGGGGGAGGGTCGTTACCATCCTCGAACTTATCCCTATCCCTAAGATTGACGCGCCAAAAGGCGATGACAATCCTTGGGGATGCGCCGCCCTCAAAAAATCAGGGCATCCCTGAGATTGGCATCCTGATGAGGAGATGCCCAGCTTAGGGATAGGGATATACTCCAGGCTAGTAAGGTCGGGGGGGGCCTGCCTGGGCGAGGCGGCAGGTGCCGAGGGCGGCCGGCTCCGCCGCTCTGTGGCGCGGCGGGGGCTGGCTCCGCCGCCCCGCGGGCCCGCCCCGCGGCCCGGCGGCGAGGCGAGGCGGTGCCCCGAGGCACACGGCCCATGGTCAGGAGGGGAAAAAACACAGGCGCAATGAATCGTCGATTTGCCAAAAAAATACGGGAACAGATGGGAAGTGGGGGGGAGACAGGAACCCAGAACATATGGGAAGATATGGGGGATACCTTTCTTTGTGTGTGTGTGTTTGTTTGTGTGTCCTGGGGCCCCCTCAAATGGCGAGGCGGTGCCCCGAGGCACACGGCCAATGGTGAAGGGGCCCCAGGACACACAAATAAGTAAACACAAATAAAAAGATTCCCCCTATTTTCTTATATTTTCTAGGGGATCGACGATTACTTGTGTCTGTGTGTTTTTTCCCTCCTGAAATGGGGCGGAGCGGGCCTGCGCCCGCCATCGTGGAGGGGCTGGGGGACGGCGGGGGCCACTGGGCTCCCACGGCCGGGCACTCCCTCGGGCGCTCGGCTGCGGGAGCCCCTCGCGGCCGCGCCCGCTCGAGGGCCTCCTCGGTCCCCGAGAGCCTCGCGCCCCCACCCCCCTCCCCGTGGCCCGGGCCCGCTGGCCTCGATCCTCCGCGGCCATCGATCGTCCTCGAGAAAAAACAAAACATAAAAAAACAAAAAACACAAAAAAAGAGCGTCCTCGAGCCTCCTCGGCGCCCTGGCTGCCCTCTGGTGCCACCGCGACGGCGACCCGCGCCCGGCACCCGCGGCGCCCGCCGCGGGGGCCCCAGGACCTGGCGGTGGCCAGGCTGCTGCCGGACGGCGGCCCCGCCAGGGCCGTGGCCGCGACGGCCCGCCCGCTGGGGGCGGAGGTGCAGGCCTCCCGAGGTTCGGGGGCGGCAGAGAGGGGGGTGATGACTAGGGGGGGTTTGGTAAAACGACGCGAAGATCGGGACAATCGGATCGGGATCACTCGAAATCTCTGAGAATCGGCGGGTTTGGAGGATGTATTGGGCGCCGCGGCCGCTCCAGAGCGTTCCGGAACGCTCTGAGAGCGCTCCGGAACGCTTTGGAGCGATTTATCCTGATCCTAACCCTGTTTTATCGGGGGTGGACAGACCTCCTGCCCTGACACGTCGATGAGTGAATTGTCCGTTTTCGGTTCTCGAGAGGGCGCCGCGGGCGTCATTTTCTAGGCTCGCGCCCGCCAGGTTTGGGCCCGAGGTCGTTTTCACTAAACCACGTTTTACTAAAGGGAGGTCTTTCCATCCCCGAGGGGGGTGGATATTATGGCGGGGGCCATAATATCTCCCTAGGTTTCATGGCGCCTCTTCTTACTTCAATGCGTCCCTGGCCCCCCCGCTGGGCCGCGCAAATGGCGCCGGCCATGATTTGCGCCCCTCCCTCTTGGACACCCCCCTCTTGGCCGCTCCCGACGGGGAGGAGGAGCAGCTTTTCCAAGGTTACCCTCGCATCCTTGCATGTTGCCTGGCGCCCTCGGGTTTCGAGTTTTCGATGGTCGTGAAGAGGGCCTGTTTAGGCCCTTGCATCCTTCCCGCGCATCCTTACTATACGGGTTGACTGTTGATGGGGGCGGAGGATCGCGCCGCATCGCCGATGCGGTTCGGTGTGGAGCCCGAGCTTCTCTTCGCCGATGTCGCTGGTGCATCACCGGCGTGGCCGGTGCATCGCCGATGCATCGCCGATGCAGCGGCGGTTCGGCGCGGACTTCTGGACACATTTGCTCCGACCCCATTTTCAGGAGGCCTCTCGGAGGGAGGAGATCGAACGAGGAGAACGAATGATAGTGACGGCGAGGACGATGAAGGTGGATGAGCAGGGCGAACGACGGCGGGGAGGGGGGTGCCCCAGGACTTTTGGGAGTCTTCGGGAGTGTTTTTTTTGTTTCCCCCTCTGGGCCATAATGCGTGATATGCCCCCTACCCTCCCCCCCCCTCCCCCCACCTATTACGTAACGCTCCCCCCTCAGTGGGCCCCCGGCACTGCCGCAGTGCGTCTGGCACCACTTTCTGGGGGGGGGTGCTACGGTATGCCTCCTCCCGTCTCCCCCCCCCTCACCCCCCATAACGACCGTGATGGCCGCGAATAGATCAATGCGCTCTTCCTGTTCAGCTCCACTTCGGCCGATGGGTGGGCAAGCGGTGGAGGGGCCAGGTCAGGGGCAGCGATCGGCCCCGCGCAGAGGGGGGTTGGGGGGAGACGGAATGCTTCTTGAGAGCACCCTGGCCTTGAGAAAGGAAAGCGCGGGCTTTGTGCATACATGTATACCCAGCGCCCTCTAAGAAGCGGTCTCCTTCTAAGAGCTTTCCCCCTCCCCATACCCTTAAGTCGGGCCTGTCCCCCTACATGGGGTTTTTTTGACGAAAAATAAAGAATACCCCCAAAATAATAAAAAATAGTCCCAAAATAGTCTGGGGACTATTTTTTTAGTATTTTTGACCTTTTTGGGGTATTTGTTGGGTATTTTTTTTTGTCGTCGAAAATTCCCCTGTATGGGGGACAGGGGAATCCTTTTATTTGTGTGTATGTATTTGTGTGTCCCAGGGCCCTTTCACATTCATCGCCCAGAGGGGGAGAGAGGCCCGATGGCATACCCCGCCCAAGAGGGTGCGGTCTCACTTTCGGGGGCCAGTCGCCGATCTATCGGCGATGTCTCGCCGACTCCGGGTCGATGTTTCTTTTCAGCCACGCGCAGGGGAGGGGGTAGGGGGAGGGGGGAAGGCTTCTTAGAAGGACCCTGCTTCTCAGAAGGCGTGTGTCTCATCTATATATCTAGGTCCAGCGCTGTATGAGAAGCAGGGTGTTTCTAAGAAACCTTCCCTCCTCGTCCTACCCCTTGGTTCGCGCCGCCAATCCTCCCTGAGCTGTTCCCCCCTTAATGTTGCCCCTCGTCAGAGGAGGAAGCGGCGCCTTCATTCGAAATTATTTAATTGCGGTGGCAGCATGTTGACAAGCGCAACTCGCCTCCTTGGAGTATCCTGGGCCGTCTTGGGAGCGTCTCTTAGGGCATCTTACGCTCACCAACAGCTGCCCAGTCTCACCTTCCCGTGCGAGCTTGAGCCACCTAGATTTACCTTGGAGCCGTTTGCTTCTCAACGGTCTTGGTGTTGGACCGACTGGAGGTAACCCTCGTCGCCACGGTTCGATTCGCCGTGACATCCCGTCCAGAACACCCCGGGGAGAGGTCCAGGGATTGGCGGTGTCGGTAGCGGCGGTATCTGTAGTTGTTTGGCCACACAGGGCCTCATCCCTCCTCCCTCGACCCTCCTCTCCTCCTCCTCCTCCTCCTCCTCCTCCTCCTGTGCAGCCTCCTCCTCCTCCTCCTCCTTCTCCTCCTCCTCCTCCTCCTCCTCCTCCTCCTCCTCCTCGACCCTCGACCCTCCCCCTTCGACAACTCTTCCCCCTCCTCCTCCTCCTGTGCGGCCCCGCTGGGGCCGTCGCCGCGGCTGTTCACGGGGAAGACCCCCCAAAAGACATTCCTCCGCTTCCTCTTTTTCCTCCTTCTCTCCCACAACTGCGTAACACACCTTCCAATCCGCCCCTCCTCAAGAGTCCTCCTCCTCCTCCTCCTCCTCCTCCTCCTCCTCCTCCTCCCCCTCCTCCCCCTCCGCCCCCTCCTCCCCCTCCTCATCCTCTCCCACAGCTGCGCAACACACACCTTCCAGTCCCCCCCTCCCCCAGCACCAGCACGAGGGTATCGAGGAAGAGGAGTGGACGAGCAGAACGGCGACGCGGAGGCGAGGAGGGGAAACATGCAAGATGAGGGTGGGAAGGTGATGGGGCGGCGAAGGGGAGCAGGAACAGCAAGAGTGGAAGAGATCCAACGTTGGAGATCGTACGTTTTCGCATTTGAGAAAGGAGGTATATTAACATACGCGTGGGGGAGCACGACCACTATCCCAAGGCGCGAAGTTTGCAATGCAAGCGGCTTCCCAGGCGTTAGGAGGGCAACTATATTTTGAGCGTGCCCGAGAGTTGCGTTGTGGCAATGTAGATGCAGACATGATGTGCGGACTTGGCTTGTCCACCTCACTTTAATAGAAGGCAGTACCAGAACTCACATCTACGGATGCCGGTATTAGAAGGCAGTACCAGAACTCACATCTACGGATGCCGGTATGCCGCTTGAGGACCCACCGAACATGCAGTTTTACTTTGGGGTTGGGACGAACATGCAGGAGCAGGGATCGAGGAAGTCTGCCAGGCACGAGAGGAAGGAGAGAAGGAGGAGGAAGTGGCGGACGACGACGAGGAGGCGGATGACAACGACGACGACGGCGGAGACGGCAGTCTCTTAGGGTCTGTTGCGGGGCTTTGGGCCTGGCGGGACATCCCATGGTCTCGAAGGGGACCCGAAGTGGCATGTTCAGGGTCTTGGTGGCCATTTTGTGGGGGAGGGCTCCGGTGGAGCCCTGCGAACTCTCCCTCCTGGGCCGTTTCCAAGAGGTCCCCTTTGGGGCCTTTGTGCCGCCTTGGGGCCTCTTGGGCCACCTTGGGGCTCACGGAAAGAAAGAGCGAGGTACGAGTGATGACGTGCAGGTGGGGCGAAGCCCGAAAGGGAGGGGCTCCAGGGGAGGGGCGGAGGCCGAGGGCATGGGTGGTATCTGCCGCGGTGGGGGGCCGTTTCCCTCGTTTCTGTCCTAGTGAATCGGGGCTGGACAGAACCCCCAACAGCGACACGTCGAGCAGTGAATTGTCCGTTTTCGGCTCTGGGGAGGGCGCCGTGGCCGTCGTTTTCCAGGCTTGCGCCCGCCAGGTTTGGGCCTCAGGGTCGTTTTCATGAAACCACGCTTTACTAAAGGGGTCTGTCCATCCCCGATCCATGCTCTTCTGGGTGCTCGAACCCATTTCAGGGATGTGGTCCTCACGTGCGGTGGGAACACCATGGCAGGGGGGGGCGCGGTCCAGAATCGGCCTCGGGGCGGAGGAGGAGGAGGAGGAGGAGGAGGAGGAGGAGGAGGAGGAGGGGGAGGGCAGGAGGTCCAGAATCGTTTGGGCCTCAGGTCGTTTGCACTAGACCACGTTTTGCTAAAGGGGGGTCTGTCCATCCCCGAGTGGAGCGGCTCGCGGGCACCTTCCGTGGCCCGGTGCCTCGACAGGTTTCGAGCGAAGCGGCTCACGGGCACCAAGACGGCCCAAGGTCGCAGGCCTAGAGGTTGACACCAACACCAAGATCGGCGGTGTGCCTCCACCGAGGGAGGACGATCCCGATCGCGGTGATGGTGGTAAGATTCTGGCTTCAAGGTGACCGACATATTACCACCAACACCGAAATCTAAGGCCATCTTCCCCATGTGGAGGCGAACGCCCTGTGCTGGTGTTGGTGCCAACAAGGGGGCACCAACCCGACCGAGAGACGGCTCCTGGAGAGCCTCAGGTGGCTTCCAGACGGTCCAAGAGGGCCTCGCGACGGCTCCAGAGGCCCTCCAGGGGGTCTTCGAAAGGGCCTCAGGAGCCCAAGCACATCGATTCCCCACGGGTTTTTGAAGGCTTTTGCGGGTTCTCGCCTTTTCGAGGACAGCGGGCCCAACACGGCCCAAAAGTTGGTCCCACGACGGCCCCAGAGGCCCGCCAAAGATGCCAAAAACGGTCCAAGAGGGCCCCCCAGAGGGCCCCAAAACAGCTCCGGATGGCCCCAAGAGAGCCCCAAGAGGGCCTTTCAAGAGGCTCCTAAGATACTCCCATGGGGGCCCGAAGAGGCGGTGTCGGGACTGGGCTGCTTTGGTGTGGGGACTGGGCTAGCTCCAAGACGGCCCAAAGAGTACAACAACTCCCCCAAGAGGGCCCCCGAGAGGGCTTCAGGAGGCAAACAGCTTTGTTTTCCCCAGAA